AAAAGATTATTTTAACGGTTCATTGCATTGTTACAGGAAGTTAAAATTCATATCTTTGTTTTATTGAAAATCTCAAATTTTTTTAATGATTATGAAATCTATTAATCTATTTTTGAAATGGCAGCATTCATTTTTGATGTTATGGTTTCACTAGTAGACAAAATAAAAAAATGGGCCAGAAGAAAAACAAATCTGTCAAAAAAGGTAAAAAAATGAAATAAAATTATTAAATTAACAAGAACCTTGAATTGAAAAGAAAAGTAATATGATTCAAAGTTAAAATGAGTCTGAAATATACAAAATCTAGAAAGGAAAACAAAGTTTACCATTGCTCTCAAGAAGTGAAATGCGTTCTTTTATCCTAGTCATCGAGGCAATTCTGAGAAGAATTGAAAACCCTACCGGGATTTAATTGGCAGCCTAAATTTTAACAACATAAGATACGTCAGATGACACAGTAATGATAGCAGACACGGAAAAGAAATTACAAAATCTCCTACAGAAGGTAGCGACGGAGAATGAGAAGAAGGGACTAAGCATAAACTACAAGAAGACAGAATGCATGGTCATCAGTAAAAGGATGAGCCCCGAAATGCGATTTGATTGATGGTCGGGAACACTAGAATCAAGCAGACGCGGAAGTTTAAATATCTGGGAAACGTTTTGACAGAGGACGGTAAATGCGACACTGAGATCCGTAGACGTATTGGGATGGCCAAGGACACATTCCAAAAGCTGGGCAGAGTATTGCGAGACAGGAGGATTTCTTTGGTAACAAAGAAAAGAATACTGAACTGTTACGTGACATCTGTCCTTCTTTACGGCAGCGAATGTTGGACGATTTGTATCGTACAGCACGAGTTCCAGTTGAGGGGAGGGATGAGGAGAAGAGAGGAATTGTTGAGAAGGCACAGGACATAGAATGAGAGAGCCATGATTTACGTCAAAAAAAAACATGGCACATTAAAAGAAATCCGTAAAAACTAAATTGCACTAGAGAAAGATTTTTTTTACATAATGAGCTTCAAAATGCACAAGGCTTATCGAAAAAAGAGGGTAAAAATTTACAATTTAAGAAAAAATTCCATGCGGATATATACAGGAAGAACAATTTATAAAATTGAATGTTCGGGAAAATATCCTCTGGGGAGTAATTCTAACAGAGCAGTGGAAGAAGATTTTTGGGTGGAAAAAATATCTCACTATTTTGGAATACCCAGGGAATGAGGAAAAAAATAAAATCAAATTCGAGTAGCATGGCGTGTCCTAGCCGTGAGGGTTAGAACTGATGAAAATATGGAATTCATAGACGTCTGAGCACTTTCCATCGAATTCAAAAGGATTGCGACGTCTCGTCTTTGAGAGAAGTGTTGAAGTCTGTAAAAATAATTCATCACCCACAAGGACGCGAAATCCTCTGGACTATTGAGACGGAAAAGCGAGGGCTGTAAAATAAAAAACAATAATAATTATGCCATTTTTTTTTTCCATTTACTTCTGTGATCTGGATTAAAAAAGGTGACGATACCAACTAGGTTATATCCTTAATTTTTTATCAATAGATAGATAGATAGATAAATAGAAAAAAAGATTTAGAGAAAAGAATTATTTTTCGCACTTAAAATAATTAGATAGATAAATGAATTAAAAATTAGATAGAAAATAGATGAAAAAAAGAATTAGATAGATAATAGATAAATAGATAGATAGATTTATAGATAGAAAGATAAAGATTATTTGTTTTTTCCTCCTTTAAAAGACGATAAATCTGTGCTCAATAATGGACGAAATCCCTTGGGTGATTTTATAGTATGAACGCGGCCTTTAAATCCAACATAGTGAAAATTTTTATGAGAAAGAATGAAATTCACAAAGTAAAATCCAGACCGAAAAATTTGGAAGGTATATACGATCCATCGAAAAAAAAATTCGAAAATGTTCGATTCTATCGATCATGAACTTGTATATTTGGACGTCAATGATGTTCAAAAGTCTGAATATGAACTTCTTAAGAAGAGGAATATACGATGAAATACGATAATTCATGAAGAGAACAAAATGGTCGACTCCTTCTGTGATGCATAACCCTTGAAAAAACACGCTGGTATATCGAGTGGTAAAACATCAAAAAACTGGGAAGTTGTTTTTTTATTGGGTGTTAGGAAATGGTCTACTCCTTCTCCGTAAACACGCTAGTCCTTTTTACCTGCACATCCGAAAACTTATATTCATTTACACACAAGTGGTGTATGAATGTGATTTAACAGCAAGTCCTTTATCCCACCTGCACATTAAAACTTACAGCACCTGGTAGCGATGAATTAATCACCCATCCAGGAAAGACCAGGCTCGAAATTGCTTTTCAGGTGTTCGTACGAGAACCGGTGTTTCAATGTATACAACAGCAATTTCCTTTAAGGACATCCCTGTTTTACAGCACCTGGTATTCATATTCTGTCACCCATAGGAAATGACCAGATTTCGAAATTCTTAACTTCGGTGTTTTTTGGAGAACCGGTGTTTCAATGTGATACTAGAGAATTCATTTATGACACTACATCACATTCAGCACCTGGTTTCCCAATCTGTCACCCTTTAGGAACTGACCAGGCTCGAAATTTGAGTTCGGTCTTCAGGGAGAAAAAAAAAATGTGATACAACAGCAAGTCCTTTATCGGACCTGCACATCCAAACTTGTTGCAACTTATTATAAATCTGAGCCCATGGGAAATGAATCCTCTTGGAAATTGCTTAATTTCTGTTAATGCGAGAACCGGTGCAGATACAACAAAAGTCCTTTATTTGCACATCAAAGTGGAATTACAGCACCTGGTATGGAAAATCTATCACCCAATAGGAAATATTCAAGGCTCGACGGTTTTGTCTTAACTTTTCGGTGTTCGTGTCCTAAGCCGGTGTTTCAATGTGACAACAGCAAATTATTTTTATCCCACCTGCACATCAACCTTACAGCACCTGGTATTCCCAATCTGTCGATGTAGGAAATGACCAGGCTCGAAATTCTTAACTTCGGTTTCGAACGAGAAGTTGTGTTTCAATGTGATACAAAGCAAGTTTTTATCATCTGCACATCCAAACTTACAGCACTTGGTATTTAATCTGTCAAAATAGAAATGACCACTATCGAAATTGCTTGTTTTCGGTGTTCAATAGGAGCTGGGGTGTTTCAATCTACAACTAAAATTCCTTTTATCCAGTCTGCACATCCAAACTTACAGCACCAGAAATACAATTCCTGGATGTCACCCATGTAGGAAATGATGATAAAAATTGCTTAACTTCGGTGTTCGTACGAGAACCGGTATAAATGTGATCAACAGCAAATCCTTTATCCCACCTGCACATCCAATATTACAGCACCTGGTAAAGATCTGTCACCCATGTTTAAATGACCAGGCTCGAAGAAAATTTTCGGTGTTCGTACGAGAACCGGTTTTAAATGTGATCAACCAAATAAGTCCTTTATAGATAAATCCAAAAGCACCTGGTATTCCCCAATCAATCACCCAGGTAGGAAATGACCAGGATACTTTGCTAGTTCGGTGTTCTTACGAGAACTTTTTTCAATGAAATACAACAGTCGTTTTTTATCCCACCTACATCCAAACTTACAGCACTTGGTATTTAAATCAAAATAGGAAATATTTAAGGTTCGAAATTCCCTTGTCCGAGATCTAGTATTTCAATGTGATACAACAGCAAGTCCTTTATCCCACCTGCACATCCAAACTTACAGCAATGGTATTCCCAATCTGTCTTTTGTTGCAAACATGTAGGAAATGACCAGGCTGAAATTTTAACTTCGGTGTTCGTCGAGAACCGATGTTTCAATGTGTTTACAACTCAAATCCTTTGGTCCGGGATGCTATCCAAACTTACAGCACCTGGTATTCCCAATCTGTCACCCATGTAGGAAATGACCAGGTTCATTGCCTTAACTTCGGTATTCGTACGAGAACCGGAGAGGAATGTGTATACATTTTAAGATCCTTTACGATCCATACAGCACCTGGTATTTCCCAATCTGTCACCCATTTAGGAAATGAAAGGCTCGAAATTCTTTGCAGCAATATCCAATGAGAACCGGTGTTTCAATGTGATACAACAGCAAGTCCTTTATCCCAGTGGTCACACAATCAAGGAATTAATTCTACTCACCCATATGAAATGACCAGGCATTTGAAATTTTAACTTGTTTTGTTGGTACGAGAACCGATTTGTTTCATCAATTTGATACAACAGCAAGTCCTTTATCCCACCTGCACATCCAAACTTACAGCACCTGGTATTCCCAATCTGTCACCCATGTGGAAAATGACCAGGCTGAAATTGCTTTTCTTCGGTGTTCGTACGAGAACCGGTGTTCAAAATGTGATACAACAGCAAGTCCTTTATCCCACCTGCACATCCAAACTTACAGCACTTGGTATTCCCAATCTGTCACCCATGTAGGAAATGACCAGGCTCGAAATTGCTTAACTTCGGTGTTCGTATTTCAAGAACCGGTGTTTCAATGTGATACAACAGCAAGTCCTTTATCCCACCTGCAAACATCCAACTTACAGCACCTGGTATTCCCAATCTGTCACCCATGTAGGAAATGACCAGGCTCGAAATTGCTTAACTTCGGTGTTCGTACGAGAACCGGTGTTTCAATGTGATACAACAGCAAGTCCTTTATCCCACCTGCACATCCAAACTTACAGCACCTGGTATTCCCAATCTGTCACCCATGTAGGAAATGACCAGGCTCGAAATTGCTTAACTTCGGAATTACGAGAACCGGTGTTTCAATGTGATACAACAGCAAGTCCTTTATCCCACCTGCACATCCAAACTTACAGCACCTGGTATTCCCAATCTGTCACCCATGTAGGAAATGACCAGGCTCGAAATTGCTTAACTTCGGTGTTCGTACGAGAACCGGTGTTTCAATGTGATACAACAGCAAGTCCTTACTACCACCTGCACATCCAAACTTACAGTACCTGGTATACCCCAGTGGTCACCCATCTAGGTACTGACCAGGCTCGATGTTGCTTAACTTCGGGGATTGTACGGGAAACGATGTTCCAATATGATGTGACCGTAAGCCCAGTAAGGGATTGGCTGCCGGCCTAACAGACCGTTTTTCAAGGAAATCTTCAAGCGGCCGTATTTTATTATGTTAGATGAGGTAAATTGTGACAAGCCTATCGGGACATTTTATCTAAAAATATCATGTAAGAATTGTTTGTTCAATTTACGTTTCTGAGTAGACTTATTCTTTAAAGATACGACTCGTATATAATTAATGAATCAGAGGCGGATAATTGAATTTCTATTACAGGTCTTCTGGTGATCCTGAAAAATGGATGACACAACGTATTTTTGAAATCAAGGGTGCGATAAAATAGGTTGTGTTTACCAGGATTTTATTACGACCTCTGGACTCCAAGAGGCTGGTAAAATATTTTATTTAAAACATATTTTTGTGACGTACGGTGGTCGTTAATAATTAAGTATAACTCAAAACTTCAATGTTAAACAAAACAGTATTTAATTATAACCGCAAATGCTTAACAAGAACAAAGAAGTAAAAGTCAAGCAAAGATAATTAACCATTTTAATGAATACCTTGTTAGTAGCCCGCCTCGGCTTAACGTCCGGTTAATCTTAAATCCAAACCCAAATCATCAACGCACAATAATTCACACTAATTCGACTGGATCGTTCCACTCAATAGTCACTCAATGATCACTACAGTCAGCAGCCTGACACCGCTATTTATAAACCTGGTGGAAAACATATATTCATAAGTCCAGTGTCACGCTCGAACCTCGGTGTCAGTAGTTACTCATTTTCTTCCTATATGTCATATATACCCATGTCGCTATTTTTATACCCCAATAATAGTCAATTTTTGATTGTTTACAATGTGTAATAGAGAGAACTGCATAATACGTAATCAATTGCTAGGTTTACTGATAGGAAGTTTTGGCGCACTGTCACATGAAAGATAATTTTCCTCGTTGGAATCCATCTTGCACATTTATAAATCTACAATTCGACCGTGCATTGAATACTGTTGCCAAAATCTGGTCTGGTGTTCCTGCCACACATCTCAAGATTCTTGAAAAATTCCAAAATATGTAAGGTGGTCGATCCTGACCCGACAACTCAACTTCAGTCACTTTTTCATCGTGTCTTCCCTCTTTTCTACAAATGTTTCATAGCAACTGCTCTGATGAGATTTTTCTCCCTTGGGGCCCCGAGTACATAGGTTAGCAGCTAGGTCTCACCAGTTTACTATTGAACTAACTAGATGCAATCGCCACCTCTACTCTAACGGTTTCTTTTCTCGCACTTCCCTCCTGTGGAACTTCTTTTCGATTTCTTACTTCCATAATAACTACAATCGTCAATGATTTAAATCCAACGTCAATCACTATCCTTTGTTTTGGGTTTTTTTTTCTCTATTCCTACTAATGTCTTCTCATTTGCCTTCACTCCCTGTAACCCATATATGGCTGCCATTTCTGACATTCTGCGCCTTTTTCACAAAAGTTGCGCACCTTAGGGATAATTTATTAAAATTGTGTCTTGTGTAAGGATTAAAAGAATATGTGCAAAATATTAATATATACAATGATTTTTATATACAAGGTGAGGTTTCCTCTCTGGGATATTTATTATTCCCCGAATCATCTGTCGTATTTATGGCGGGCTGGTGGAGATTACCTGATGACAACGTTCGTTTACACAATATAACTATATGGCCTTTTGTAAGGATTAAAAGAAAATGCGCAAAGTGTTAATACATACAATGTTTTATTTTATATATAAAGGTGAGGTTTCCTCTCTGGGGTATTTATTTTATTTACTAGTTATTTAATTGTAATATGTACGATTCAAAATGTCCTCCTTTTTCAAAACCCATTTCAATTCTGTGCCTGCAGGATTCACTAACACAATGGAGAGTTTCTTCTGTCATATTACGGCATTCATATTTAATTCGTTCTTTAAGTTCCTCAATATTTCTTGGGCGCGTCTGATAAACAACTGATTTCAAATAACCCCACAGAAAACAAAATCCAAGGGTGTGAGGTCTGGTGATCTCAGTGAGTCTGACTCTGAGTCCCTGTCTATCTGGTCAAGACTGAGTCCCTGTGGGAAGACGAATGGAGGCGTGACATTAGCCATAGTAGTGATCACTCCAAACACCTTCGTAATCAGCATTAGACTCATCCAACTCTTTCCGAATCCTCTGACCTATCCTCAGATTGACACCCAATCACTAAAATGCTCGTATTGGATCATTGTGAGCGTGTGTCAATTCCTATATATATATATATATATATATATATATATATATATATATATATATATATATATATATATATATATATATATATATATATATGTACAGGATAAGGTAGAAAGAAAACCATAAGAATAATATATTAAAGTAAATAACACATCAAAATTTTATTTACTAGTCATTTAAATTATAATATCTACTGCTCAAAATGTCCTCCTTCAAAAGCCATTCCAATTCTGTGCCTGCTAGATTTACTAACACGTTGGAGAATTCCTTCTGTCATTTTACGGCATTCATATTTAATTCTTTCTTGAAGTTCCTCAATATTTCTTGGACACGTCTGACAAACAACTGATTTCAAATGGCCCCACAGAAAAAAAAAACCCGAGACAGCTCTGGTGGCCTCGATGACTACTGAATAGGATTTATTCATTAAACCGTAACTCTGACTCTGAGTCTCTCGCTGTCTGGTTGAGCCTGAGTCCCTGTGGGAAGATGAATAGAGGCATGAACTGGCCATCACTAGTGATCACTCCAAACACCTTCGTAATCACCATTAAACTCATCCAACTCTTTCCGAATCTGTTCTCAGATTGACACCCAAACACTCTTGAAGCTTCCGTCGCGAGTGCCAAGCAGTACAGCATGACGTTTCCAAATTTCTCTTTGTGCAATCCTTACACACGGTCATATAGATATATGACCTTGTTTAAGGATTAAAAGAAAATGCCCAAATTATTAATATATACAGTGTTTTTTTTGTTTTTTGTTTTTTACATACAAGGTGAGGTTTCCTCTCTGGGGTATTTATTTTATTTACTAGTTATTTAATTGTAATATGTACTGCTCAAAATGTCCTCCATTTTCCAAACCCATTTCAATTCTGTGCCTGCTTGATTCATAAACACGTTGGAGAATTTCTTCTGTCATTTTACGACATTCATATTTAATTCTTTCTTGAAGTTCCGCAATATTTCTTGGACGAGTCTCATAAACTTTTGTTAGTTTTCAGCCATCTTCGTCAAAATTGTTTCTGCAAAATAAGAAAATATCAAAACAAATTAGACATTTAAAACACAATTAATTAATTAATCCCTATTGTGCGAAACTTTTGCCTCACCCTATATATAAAATTTATATATATATATATATATATATATATATATATATATATATATATAAAGTGCAGTTGTCTGTATGTGCGTATGTGTGTATTAAAAATATTACTCGGTTACGGTCCTTTTCCAGCGACAATCTTGGGAGATCACCAGTGTATTTTTCATAACTCTCTTACCGGATGCTGTAGTGACAAGACGTGTCATGTTTCCTTTCTAGGGTATTTATTATTCCCGGAATCATCTGTCGTATTTATGGCGGGCTGGTGGAGATTACTTGATGATAACGTTCGTTTACACCATATATCTATATGGCCTTGTTTAAGGATTAAAAGAAAATGCGCAAAGTATTAATATATACAAAGTTTTTTTTCTTTATATGAAGGTGAGGTTTCCTCTCTCTGGGGTATTTATTTTATTTACTAGTTACTGTAATATGTACGATTCAAAATATCGTCCTTTTTTTTCAAAACCCATTTCAATTCTGTTCCTGAAGGATTCATTAACACTGCCATTCTCCTTATTGTGTGGCACGGTCGTGTTGCCAGACATGGGGTCTTCCAGTTGGCATCCTCTTGAACCAGGGCAGCACTACCTTCTCAAGGCACTTGTTGTACGCCGCCGTGTTGAATCGGAGAAAGATGAATGGAAGCATAACGTCGCCATCACACCAGACACCTTCGTAATCAGCATTAGACTCATCCAACTCTTTCCGAATCCTCTGCACTATGCTAAGATTGACACCCAAACACTAAAACGTTCGTATTGGATCATGTGTGTTTGTGTGTGTGTATGTGTGTGTAAAATTCCGATATAGGTACCATTACAATAATTTATTTCACCAGAGGTCTTTTAAAGGAAGCCGGATCATTCAAATAGCACTTCCAAAATTTCCAAAAAATAATAAATTATATATATATATATATATATATATATATATATATATATATATATATATATACTAGAACATGACCCGGCGTTGCCCGTGCTTGATTCAAAAATCGTACGACTCATACAGCACTGCACGCACTAACCTGTTTCTTCCCGCGCATAGCGTGACCTTAAATTAATCTGCATTTAGGAAATACCCAACCGGAAAAATTTTTTTAAGGGTTGACCGATTGTCCATTTGCACTCTGTTTGGGGGGTGCTCAGAGTTGAAACTTCACATGATGACTCCCAATGGCCTCCTCATAAATCCGCTTGGTTTTCGCTAAAACCGACATGCAGTTCAGGTGCAATCTGGGCGTATCGGTTTTGGGTTTTATCGATTTTCCGCGCTGTTAAGGGGTCCGTGGTCATGAAACTTCTGGACAACACTTCTAAAGGTAGACTCTGTTAGTCGTTTTGTCAAATTTGGTTGAAATGCAATAATTCCTTCTGTAAGCAGATTTTTTCGATTATCGATTTTTTCGGAACCTGAGTCCGAACTGAAAAATCGGGCTCCGTCATGTCTTTAAGGCAGCCATTTGCAAACTTGTGGTGAAAACCGCATCGAAATCAGGTGAGAAATGCGGCGTAGGCGAGGTAACAACGCCCACAACAGACACACAGACAGACAACATGAGAAATATAGCTAGCTGAGATATAGCTAGATAGATAGATAGATAGATATATTTTTAGCACTTTTTTTAAAACCATAAAAATAATATATTAAAGTATAATTACACATGAAAG